TCAAAAAGAAGATAGAGAGGAGGAGGAGGAGAGAACAATAAGAAGAAGAAGATGAGGGGGAGGAGGACGACGAGAGATGAAGAAGAAGAAGAAGAAGAAGAAGAAGAAGATGAGAGGGGGAGGACGAGGAGGAGAGAAGAAGAAGCAGAAGAATAAGAGGAGGAGGAGGAGGAGGGAAGAAGAAGAAGAAGAAGAAGAAGAAGAAGAAGAAGAAGAAACCGGCAGTCCTCGTTGACGGGCGGCAGTGGATGCTGGCAGGCAGCAGCTTTGACGACGGGCGACGGCAGTCCCAGGCGATGGCGACGGCAGGCAGCAGCTTCGACGACGGGCGACGGGCGATGGCTGTCCCGGGCGATGGCGACGACGGGTAGCTGCTTCGACGACGGACACCAAGGTCGAACGCGGCGGCTGGAGCAGGGGCCCCGTTTGGAAACCCAATGCAGACCGCCCAAGCCACTCGCTTGTTCAAACGGGGCGTCCTGTTTCCCTCCAAAAACGAACGGCCCTCTGGCCGTCGATCATGGATGATCGACGGCCGGAGGGCCGTCCAAAATTCAAAAAAAAAAAGCAGGCCTCACGGGCCCGACGCGCCGTTTTCTGGGCGTGGTCGGACCCGGTAGGCCCTGGCAACACACAAACAAGTCCATTCGGGGTCTGAAACCCCCCTACAGGTGAGTGTGCTGGGTGGGCCCGGCCCCCAACCGGGCCGCCCGCCCGGCCAGGCCGCCCGGGACCTCCCCCGGGCAGGCGCCGGTCAGCCGGGCGGCCCGGATCCTTACTCAGTTTTTTTTTAATTTACATTTGACCGTTTCTCGATTGATGCGTGTGACAGCGTGTCATCCATTTGCAGGGGCCATGCTAATCATCTTCTGTATCGTTCCACTCCCAAAGGAGCATCCCTAATTTTTTGTCGTGGGTAACATCCCTAATTTTTTGTGGAATGTCTAGTCGCCTAGAATTGAGAACCGCCAAAGTTGGGGTAGTTGCAAATTTGCACACCCCTCCGGTACCCCCTAGCGTCCATTTGGCCACTGTCATACCCGTGTCGTGTCCACGGGAACCAGTCCAATTCAGGCCTGGCCAAAACTGGTGGTGTAAACAACTGCCATTGAAATTTGCCATTGAGAAGGGCATTTTTTTTTTGTTGAATTGTCAATTGCATTGAAAGCATTGCCATGAACAAAATTGTCATCAACAAAGAATTTCCATCAAGGCTACCAGCCGGGCCGCCCGGGCCACCTTGTTTTCCAGGGCGGCCCGGCTGTGCAAGGATCAAGGAAAGTCCCGGCCGCAAAGGAAAAAAAAAAAAAAAA